TATATATATATATATATATATATATATATATATATATATATATATATATATATATATATATATATATATATATATATATATATCAACACCTATAAAAGTACCAATATTTAGAAGCTAAATGTTGAGTGACAAAAATATCCCCAAAATATTGATTGCCTTTTTTGCCCTTTTAAGTTTAATATTACTTTCATGAAATAATTCAATGTAGGATAAAAATGTAATATTGGATAGAAACTAAATCCTTCTAATAAATGAATTGTATGCTACATAGGAATCAAATTAATAGTTGAATTCCAATTGTATGGTATATCCTTTTAAAACCAAATTCTAAAGCGTCTTCCATGAGCTTCACAAGCTATCAAGCAAGATACTACAATAATAAAAACGTTACAATTACAATAGAAGTTTTTTTTATATAAAAAATGTTATATATTACATAACGAGTTGAATCAATAATTAATTACAAAATATATCTAACCATTATTTATTAAAATAAGATAAGTCAAAAACATTTTAAAAGCTTATAATTATCTAATGAACTCCAAAGTTATGATAATAAGGAAAAGTAATGGAGTATCGGTTTGTACAAATTTCGTAATGATTAACTAGGGAATACGTAGTGGAAAAAGACAAGGACACACAGGTAATTCATATATTTCTTTTTTTTTTTAATGGTAAAATTGTTAGATATATTTGAAGACAATTTCATGATTTTAACTTTTAAAAGATATTTTTCTTTTTTGCTTAAGTTTAGGTTTATATATTTATTTGATATTTTAATAAGTTACTTTATGTTATAAATAGAATTGTATTTATGATGAATGTCTATATTTAGAGAGATTCTAGGGTTCATTGCTTGGTGGCTAAGTCACTCTCTCCCTATAAATAGAAGGTTCTATTCCATTGTAATTCATCCCAAATCAATAAGAATTCTCTCTTCCTACTTTTCTCTGCAATACTATTCTTCTTCTTTATTGTTTGATAACACGTTATCAGCACGAGACTCTAACCAATTGAGTAGAAGCTTTGGGATTGATCATAATGATTGTCAATTGTTCTATGAATTTCCTTCATGATTAAATTCTGGATTTAAGGTAAGTATTTTACCGTATTTTTCTCTTTTATTCTATAATTTGATTTTAAATACAAGCAAAGACAATAAATTTTGATTACAACTCTAATGGAGTTTGTAAGAAATTATAACCACCCGAAGTGGTAAAATTTCTATGTCTTGCCATGATCAAAGTCATGTATGATCGTGAGCACAAGAAGTGAAAACCCGTCCCATTGAATTTGCTCCATTCTCATTCCCTTAAGAGAATGTGATAGCAATATGTGATAAGTCTGAAAGCAGACAAAATTATTACCGTGAAGGTATCAATGGATGTGGACATGGCAATAGACGAAATTATAATCATCATCATTGTGATAATGAGAATAATAAGGATTCTCAAAATAATCCTTCACTCTGTGAAAGTAATATTTGTCATGGATTTGACATGAGATTTTATAAAGCACATATAGATGATTATGGTCCATTCATGATGTGAATGTGACAACATCTTATTTATGAATACATATTCATTCTTGGAAGAATATGAACGTGCTAGTGGTAGTGAATATACCACACTCACCTCTAGAAGGAGGTTTGAGATGATATAAGAAAATAATGTCATTATTATGGCATGAATGGTCATTGGTCACGTACTTATTGTATGCCAAAATATTTTGGCATTGTGACTATTAAAAGACAACGGTAATGCAAGAAACAAATCTTGCATATAATTTTGACCATAACCATAATGGTATAACTTTCTCTTTAAAAGAGATATTCACCATATGGATGTTGATGAATATGTGGTAGTACCAAATTAATTGAGAGCTCTAGAAGAGCCAATTATCATTATTTTGGAGGAATAAAATTGATTATCAATAAGGTATTGTGTTGTAGTAAATCTCAAAGAAACTTATTCAGTTTCCAAAGTATACGCGAAAGCGGTTGATTATATTGAGACTTAAATAAAGAAAAGATTTAATATTACTACAACTTGTAGCGGGATAATATGTATATGAAAAGCTACTCGCTTTATTCTCCAATTTGTACTACATAAACAAAAGAATACCATAATAAAGTGGATGTTTATTGATATAAAAACCCATGTCATAATAAACTTGGAGTTTACTGATAATTACACACGTCATGGTGTAAACCTGATCTTTATCAATATTGATAATTTATTCAGTTGGCATAATTGGTTTAGCCATATCAATTTAAGTATGATGTGCAAAAATAATAGAGAATTCACATGGGTAAATATTAAAGAACTAGAAAGTTCTTTACGAATTCTCTTATATTGCGTGTTCTCATTAATTAATATACCAACTAAAATTGGGATTGAATCCCATGAATGCTGGAAATATCAAAGGTGAATATGGGCTCATTCACCCGCCATGTATACCACATAAGATGCATCTATGAGATGGTTACATGTGCAATTATTATTAACCCGCAACTTGGCCGGTGTATGCGAGGTAACTTGCTCAATAAGTTAGTTTCGAGCATAATTTCCAGATTTCCTATTCAAGAAGTTAATCTTGATAAGTTGGTTTACATCACAGTTGGTTTAGCAAAAATGATTTTTTAAGTGCCTCAACTTAATAGCTAAACTATTGCTTATGAGAACAAAGTTATATATATCAGTTTGATATACGTTATATACCAAAGTATATTATTTTCTCCCCCCACAAGTGATTTAAGGGCCAGGAACCAAATAATTTCATCTCATTATTATTGATGTGCGGTGTATATTTTGATTAACACCATAACGCACAAAGATGGGTTCCCAAAGTTGA